CCCTAATTTCCCTAACTGTACATTTATCCACCATAATTACCAAGAATATTCCTAATATCCACTGTAATTGTAGTTTGAGTGCCTGTTTGACAGCAACTGTAAGATCAATGAAATCACGCGAAAGTTTTGCCAGAAATGTCGCCTAAATAAATGCTTTGCCATTGGAATGAAAAGGGTATTTAAAATATATATATCTGGGTATTTTTATTAGATATTAAAATTTTCAAACATTTTTTATGATTAAGGAATTCATACTGAATGACGAGGAAAGGCATTACCGACGCATCAAATTGGAGGCCAAACGGAAAGTTAGGAAAAATAGCGCCGAAACCATTGTCTCCACCAATACATCATCGCCTGAATTGACATCATTTGGCGCTAATAATACCGAAACCAACAGTAATTCAATGGATATGTTCACAGAATCGGCAAACAATGCAAACAATATGTACTCAACGCTAAGTGTTTGTACAGACACTCCAACCCTCTCAACCTACACCACATCCATTGTAGCGACAGGTGCTGTCGAAACAGATTTCATGTTTGGATTCATGGATTATAATATTAATAATGATAATAACAGTATCTGTAGTGAACAACTAATTGATGAGATTCTTGAGAATGAGTACCACAACCACCACCATAACCACCAAAACTATCACAACCTCACCAATAGTGCCACCGCTGATGACACAGAGATCTCGGACGAGGTCTACGAAAAAGTGGTCGAGTTTGAGCTGTCGGTGATCCCCATAGCCCAGCCTATCATCGAAAATAATACCTCATTAAATGATTGCGAGTATTCAGTGTTGAGGGAACTCCTAAACGCCACACAAATCCTGAACCGAGAGTACTATCCGCAGACCAGGAGGTTGTCGGAGATCACGACAGTCCCAGACTTGAGGAAAACCATGAGTTTTATATTTGAGAAGGAGATCCAGAATGTGGTGAATGTTATGAAAGGGTTGTCAGGCTTTCAGAAAATGTGCGAAAGCGACAAAATAGCACTTCTCAAGAATAGCGCCATTGAGACCCTGTTTATGCGGTCGGTCTCTCATTATAACCAAGAAAAAGACTATATAACACTTACCATGGTTAGTTTAGCTTTCACTTGTTTTATAATTATAAAGTAATTAATTAGTTTTATGTCAAACACAGGACACCAACAACTCTATACTAATAAAGTCAGATATAGTGAAGCAAGTGAGACGCAATTTGTATGGAGTACTCATAAGGTATTACTCTAAGATACTGGCCCTTTGGGACTCGGATTACGTTATACTAGATCTGGTAATAATAATAATTCATATTTAATATAAATTCGACCACTTTTGACTAAACATTTATGTGTTTGTAATTTAGTTAACCGCGATAATCATGTTTGATCCGGATAAGGATAATCTCATACACAAGGACGTGATCAAGTAAGTGCTACTTGTTATTAGTATTGCTATGTTTGAATAGAGATTTCAAAAGGATACGGTTTTATTATATTAGTAATACAGGCATAATATATACTTATATACTTTTGATATCTAAAGGCTCCAGCAGAATATATACATGCATTTACTGAAGCGATACCTGACAACCAAATATCAACCGGAATGCGAGTCTAAGACTAAATTCTTGCGGATTATGAACACATTGGTCGACATAAGACTTCTGGGCACAATTCAGAGACAAAATGCCTCCGATAACATAAATGATGGCATTTCTAAAACTTATATGAGTCCACTGGTTAAGGAGATTGTTATGTAATTTAAGTATATTTCATAAATATATCTTGATACTAATTTATTGGTATTGTAACTATCTTATTTAGGATATAACAATGATTTTATATAATTTATTTTCCTATAAATATCCTATAACTTTTATGTGGTATTAATTTATGTAAATTGTACGCAAAAAAGTATAAACCCATAAATCATATTAATATTATTTAAATTTAAACATAAACATGTATATATTATTTCATTTTTGGTTTTATACAATATTTTCTCACAGAAATACCTTGTTTTAAACTTATTGGTCGAGTGTATAATTATAAAATTTGAAAAAACACTTATGGTATAATGTAATTATAAGAAAAATTGTAATTTTTATGGAAAATCTCATACTCTATTATGCAATAAATAAAACTATTCAAAAATAAAATACATATTGAATCAAAAATAATTTACAATAAATACAAATTCACTTGAATTAGCACTAACACATAAGTGCATTTGAGTACATTAATCAACCTTCATAAATAGAATATTATTAACACGCAAGTTTTGTTGCAAATATTTGTTTTTGGACATCATTTACCAATTTAAATAAAAATGTTACTACTGTATTAATTTTTCTATATCTAGCAATATTACATATACAATAAAACATGTAATAATATATTTCAGTGAGATATAATAAAACATTATATACATTTTTAGTGTGAAAATTATCAAAATCTCGTAAGTTTTTATAGATAAACAAAATTTAACGTCATTTTATCCTAGCTATAATGAAATGTAATACAAAGTACTCATTTTATTTCTATTGTGGATACTTATGCTTTGATTTGATTTGAGTAACATGTAAATTATTAATGAAACCTTGTACACTTCTGTCAAATATAATTAAATAATTAACTTTAAATATAAAATTTATTTTAATTATTTTAAAAATGAACGATAAATGCAATGATAATAAATTGCCACAAAAAATATGCGGTGTTTGTGGTGATAAAGCTATGGGTAAGAAATAATTATACAATTATTTTGTATTTAGTTTACTATTACAATACTTTTAAAATACTTAATTAATCAGATACCTATACGAATGTTTTATTAACATTATTTAATCTCGATATAAATATATAGCTAAAAATTTCGGGGCCCTATCGTGCGAGCCGTGCAAAACATTTTTCAGACGAAATGCTATGAAAACAGATGTAATGTTACATAAAATTAAATAATTTATTTATAAATAACTAATTAACTACAAAATTACAGCTTAAGTGTCAGTATTATGACAATTGTATAATTGACGAAAAATCGCGAAAGTTTTGCTCAAAATGTCGTTTAGAGAAATGTGTTGGCATTGGTATGAAACGGGTATTTCATAGTCAGTTGAATCTTACGTTTCACAGACATTAATAATCATTTAATAATCATTAGGATTGGATGAATAGTGCGGATGACATAAAAGACAAGAAATCAGACAATCAAAGAAATAGACGCACAAAAAGTACTAAAACTTCGGATCCGGCGATAAACACATCGGAAAATAGCCATCCCTTAGAAAATCAGGACTTTTTTCACGGACTACTCGACGACAATAACTTTAGTGATATTCAACTCAATCAACAGATTTATGAAATTGAAAACAGTTTGACATCCAATTCAAGCAAATCGCCAAATGACATACAAAACAATGAAGAGAACAGTTGTATACCTAATGAGGAACTGGATGTAAGACATGAGATCCCAATAGACATCAGGGATGAGGTGATGCGAAAGGCGGTGGAGTTTGAGTTGGCAGTCATACCGATCGCCCGTCCCGTCGCTGAATATAAATGCGATTTTAATGCTACGGAAATACATATATTGCGTGAAATAATGCAATCCATAAAACCCATAGAACTACCAAAAAAGGGTCGGAGAGTTGAGATCAAGAATAACGTGGAGTTTGTGGTGAACTTCGCTGACATTTTCGACGCCGAGATCCGAAGAATCACTAAATGTGTGAAAGGGATGAACGACTTCCAGAAGTTTGACGAATCGGATCAGATTTCGATGATTAAATACGGCTGCTTTGAAGCCATGTATTTGCGATCAGTTATACACTTTGACCACCAGGATAAAGTGCTTGTATTGCCCACCGTACGCATGATGTTGTACGGATTCAAATGATCAGTGTCATTGATACTTAATTTGTTTGCATTTCATAACAGGAGAGGGACGTGACATTGGTGTTGAAAATGGATTTTCTGAGAAATAAACTCAAAGTTTATGACTTTTATGAGCAATACATACAGAAAATAAGGCCCATTTGGGACTCGGACCGAGTTATTATTAATTTGGTATTTGATGTTTCAATTTAATTCATATATTAAATTCATATTGTGTTCAAATTTAATTTATATAATATTTTTAATTCAGCTGATATGCATAAGCATGTTTAATCCGGATCGTAATGGACTCATTAATAGAGATACTATTAGGTATATTTCTAAATATATAAGTTATTTAATCATGATACATGAATTGATTATTATAAATAATAGACTTCAACAACACATATACATGTATTTACTTCAACGCTATCTAATATTGAAATACGGGTCCGAATGTGAGGCAAAAACGAGATTTTTGAAACTCATGAACACATTGAGTGATTTGAAAGTCATAAGAGATGTTCAAACGGAAGATATTTGTGCTATCATTACACAAAACACACTCTATTCACCCATTATATCCCCGCTCATATGTGAAGTCTTAGATATTAATAAATTGTCAATTATGTAATTTTTATAAGAATTCATTGTTACTAGATTTATTTTTCAATGACTTTGTAAATTATTCGGGTTTTTATTTTGTCAATTCATTGTATTACTATAAAAATAATATTTATTCAAATAAATTTTACTATGTATGTAAGGAATTTTAGGATACAAGTCAATAATTGCTTTAAAAAATACATTATGTGTTAGAATTTGTGGCCATAGGGCTAATGATATTTAAAAGGATCCTTATCTAAAAGATAGTATTAGTAAATTTTTATTATTGTATAAGATGTCAATATATTTGACATATTTTAGGAAAAACAAATTTATATAATAAAAGATTTTGACAAATAAAACACCTACGATAAAATTCTAATCTAAGGCATTGTCTATATTATTTGCATAATTAAATAAACAATTTTACAAATTAAATTTTGTTTTTTGAGCAAACACTTATTCAACACTAAGTACTGTGTTATTTTGAGTAACAATGAAATTATCTAAAAATATTTCATTCACTCAAATCAATGTAGTGTTTGAGTTGTTGAAAACACTTAAGAAAATTAATTTAAATACGCTTCATTAAGACACACTACAATATATTAATAATACCTGTACATCATAATAATTTAATTAAATTAATAATCACTTCATAAGAATACTGTAAGTATACTTTCAAAATAAATTAATCGGCTTTTAATTATAAAAATCTAAATTTAGCTAGATCTAAAACTCAATGTAGCAAGCAAAAGTGCTATTTCCTTAATAAATTATAGCTAGCAATATAGTAGATAATTATTTTAAGATGCCAAATATTCACCATAAGGGATAAGTTTACAAACAATTTTACTAGCCTTGAGAATACGGCAACAGATAATTAGCCGTTTATTTTGTGGCTTGAATTTACATGCAAAAATCACTTTAAAAAGACCTGCCATATAAAAAAAATATAATATAATATATAGAAAAAGTGTATACAACAGACCATGGCACAGGTAGTGTTACGCAAACTCCGAGCTAATAACTATCATTGTTATGCAATGTGTTTCGTATGGCATTCATTCAAAACTCAATTCACTTGTTGTTAAGTTTCCAACGATTTATGTCTCAAAATGCAAACATATTTACGGTTACAGACCACTGCTCACAACAGTTGATTGATTTTTAAACCAATTCATCCCCTTATGGTTTAAGTTTTCATTTTGGATAAAGTGAACATGAAAATACACTTAAAATATTAAATGTGCACTTTTATTTTTATTTTATTTTGTACCATGCATAATAATATATTATTTGCGCTGTACGGCATATCCTAAATTATTTTGTTGCGTTACAGTTTTTGTGTGTACAACTATAACGATAATTATTGTAATTACAAAAAATGTGCTAAACGATGAATGTTAAAAATTAATAATTAAATTAATATTTACATTATATTAATAAGTAATAATGTATAATTAATAAATAATAAACCATGAACAGAATAAATAAGCGTTTACCAAAAATATGCGGTGTTTGTGGCAATAGGGCCATGGGTAATATATACAATTTTATAAATTATTTTAATTAAATAAATTATTTTAAAAGTTGTACTTTATTTAAAATAAATTGTGTATATATTTATTTCTAATAATTTACTTAATTTGTGACAATTAGGCCATAATTTCGGTGCCCTTTCTTGTGAGCCCTGCAAAGCCTTTTTCAGGAGGAATGCCTTTAGAGACAATGTAATTAAATAATCTTTTTTTAGTTAAACTATAATTACTTATGAATTTGTGAAAACATGTTGTGTCCAAACCACAGCTCAAATGTCACTTCAACTCCAACTGTAAAATCACGGAAATCACGCGAAAATTTTGCTCAAAGTGTCGCTTAGATAAGTGCTTCGCAGTTGGGATGAGACGGGTATTTGTATTACATTTTTTGGTATAAATTGTCATTTAGTTTAAACTTTATTTCATAGGATTGGATGCCGTGTGAAGACAAATGCGAGACACAGACAGATGATAGTTGTGTACAAAATGATGGCCTTTATAGTGAGGACTCGTCAACAAAATCAGTGACAAACAGTCAAGACTCAGACAATAATGACATTCTCTATGATTTACTCGACATTAATAGCGATAACAAGTTTAGTCGCGAAGAACTGAACGCACAAATCGTCGACTTAGAGGGCATTGTAGCCAATAATCTTCAGGGAAGTCCTAACAGCGAAACACCAACTAACGAGTACAACGGCTACCAGTGCTCGTGTAGTGAGCCCCTACCTCCTGATACATGCACCGATTTGGACGATGTCTCGGACGACATCATTCAAAAGTCGGTGGAGTTTGAGTTTGCAGTCATACCTATCGCCAGACCAATAGCTGAATATAAGTGCAATTTTAATGAAACCGAAAGTTTTATGTTAAACGAGTTGTTTGGTGCGGTCAAGTGGGTGGGTGTGCAGCGCCGGGAGCATATAACGTCGGACATCACCAACGTGACGGACATACACCAGACCATGGTACAAAAGTTTGAGAACGCCATCAGGAATACCACCCGAGCCCTGAGACAGGTAACGCCGTTCCGGACGATGTGCGAGTCCGACCAGATCTCGCTGTTAAAGTACGGGTGCATCGAGATTATATACTTGCGGTCAATACTCAGCTTTAATAGCATGGAGAATGGCCTCGAACTGTCCATGGTTTGTGCGAATTAATTAGCTAGTTCATTAGTGATATAATTTATTTATTTAATAATTATAACTTATTGTATCCAGGATAGCGATAGATCGAGACTATTACGATTGGAGGCATTTAAACAATATAACTCCCACGCGTACCAGGGCTATATTAATTTTATGAAAAAAATTGTACCAATTTGGGACTCCGACCAATACATCATTGATTTGGTACCTATTTTCTAGACAATATTTAATTATTATTGGTAAATACAATAATACAATTTGAAAACATTAATTGTTTATTATAGATGACCCCAATTGTAGTGTTTAACCCGGAACGTTCTAATCTCATTAATCCGGATGCAATCAAGTAACATTTTATTAAAAAAAATAATTTAATCATGATTGAGATTATAAATTTAATTTTTAATTTTCCCACACAATAGACTCCAACAACACATTTACATGTATTTACTTCAACGCTATCTGGTATTGAAATATCCGTCAGAATGTGAGGCAAAGTCAAGATTCTTGCGGCTAATGAATACAACCAATGATTTGAAAGTGTTAAGAAATATACAAAAAAGTGACATTTCCGATTACCAAGCTAAACAACATGAGACACCAGTCGGCCCTTTACTACAGGAGTGTTTGGATATAAAGCCTAATCCCACGGATTATTCGCTCACTATTTTATGATCATAAGTCATATAAAAAATAATAATTTTCACATCACTTTCAAATGTTTTATTTAAACAGCTGTTTGTGAATTCTGTTCATTACCACCATTACCTCTATGATTAACGTCATTAATGACATATTAAAGGTTTAACTAAATGTTTAACTAATAATATTACCATTGTGATATAGTGTAACACATTAATGTATCGTGTAAGATATTATGTTTTACGAGTCTATAAACAAAATAATAAAATAAAGACAATTTATTATAAATACTTTATAATATTCATTATACAGAGTATTACATTTTCTTAAATTATATCATCATCTAAATTATGTCAATGATAAGTTAGTGCATTTAAACTAGTGTTAATGATATGCTAATTTATTAAATATAATAATCAATAATTCTCTACTTTTGTAGCAAACTTGAATTGACATGTTTCAAGACAGATATTTTTATAAACTATATTTCATGTGTGAGATAAATGTCTTAGAAGATTTCAAAAAACGTATGACATTTTCTTATGACATTTACATTATTAATTTTACAGTAAAAGCTATTTTTGTGTCTATTATTAAATTTTCGTATTAAAGCAAAGGTCGGAGTTTTGAATTTATTGTTATTTTGAGAAGCCATGCACTCAACTATAGTAATGCCTAATATTGAAATATATTTGAAAAATATAGTTGTTTACAATAAATTTTTCTTTTTTGCATAAGGTTAATTATATAAATAATTAATATTTTTATTATTGAATTTAGGTACACACACATATATATAACTGTCTAATTGTTATTATATGTTTCAATAGCTATAATATTATTGTAGTTTATATTTTGGACAATGTGTTATCAACTTATTAATTTATTACAATAATGATATAGTTTGCGTGCTAATTTTCTGAACAAATAAATTAAAACATAAAAAATATTTCTGTCACAAACAACATACTTAAAATATATATTAACATAAAATCTATTTATAGCAAGAATATTTAATTAACCTTTAACAAGTAAAAAATGATTGAATGTTAAATGACACAAAAATAAAATTCAAATTAATTTCATTGCCAAACATAATAATAGTAATTAGAAGACTAAATATATAAATAATTAAATAATCAAGTTTAATAATATATAATAAAATGTGACAAGTATTAATATTTATAAGTGTCTAATGTAAATGCGTAAGGTGATTATTTTGAATTTTAATTATTACTAAATAATAAATTTATATTAGATATAAATCAAAATTTTATATATAATATACTGTATTAAAATGTCCTAAAACTCAGCCAGATATTAAAATTTTAGTGCAAAAGTTTGTATAAATAAAAATCACACAAATTCATGTCGTCATATGAAGTGATAGATTTGTTTTGTTTTTTCACAAAATAATTATATTTGTATAATTTTATATTAGAAATGAAATATAAAAACCTGGCACAAATTTCAAGTTAAACTACAGAATAACTAGTGTGTGTTAGCATGATTGAGAAATTATCAGTGATAATCATAGGAAGTTTACTAAAATATAAATTATAGTTTTTTCAGTCAACACAAGAATATTAAACAGTGTTTTGTTGTCAGTTAAAGTATTTTCAATATTTTGTCTAATTTTTGAATCTGAAATTTTAATTTTAAATGTTTTTTAATATATAGCATATTTACATTATAAAATCATTAGTTTTATGTCATTTAAAGTCCATTATCTTGGTATTCATGAATTGTTTAACAATAATACAGTTACATAAATATTGATACAAATGAGTGGCTGGGGATTACCAAAGATATATGTAGTTTGCGACAAAAAATTTTGTGTTTGCCATTTGTTTCACATAAAATGTTAATTTAAAGTTATTATTAATACTAACGGTATAATAAAATTTTATATCAAATAATTGCTATTATTTATAAAAATAACTAATACTTGACACTAAAACCATAAATATAATAATTATTATTATTGCAAATAAATAATGGCACCCTTTGTTTTAATTTTGCTGGTCAACTGTCATTTGAACAATAACTGTAAAATTGATGTGAAATTAACAAATTTTTAAAATCCTAATATACATAATTGCTAACCTTTCTATAAGGGGGAAAAATTATTTTAATTCCTAGGAAAAATTACTATGCTGATCTGTCTAATAGTGAATTGAAGTATTGATGTATTTGTTAATTGTTATAATATAATATTATATTATAATATTAGTAGAGTAGTGTATATAACATTTTACATGTAGTGTTACGCAAACTCCGAGTTATGTATTAATGAATATGTTTGCCACATTCACTTAGGTTGTTGAAATGAAACTATTCATTTAATGTGCAAAATGATTTATAATTTACTAGCTATAATATATATATGTATTATAATATAGATTATTGCGCAAGATATACAAATTCTATTGAATTCACATTACTTGTCACCCACATAAGATTGATTATCAAAACATAAAATTTTTGTTTATGATCATGAATGTGTATTAAAGTGATTAATTAATAAATTGATAACAGGGATATAAATAGAATTTGTGTTCAATATTTGTAGAAGTATAAATTTTAAGAATTTGTGTTTTATTTTTACATAATATTTAACTAAAATAAAAA